CAATTGTTTGTAATGCTAGGAGGCAGGAGGCAGGAGAAAGAGGCAGGAAGAGAAGCTGGCATAGAGTGTTTTATTCAAGTCACAGCCAAGGCAACAAGGGCTTTACCCACCAGGACCTCTGAGAAGGTACAGATGCCTCCCAGCTCTGTCCAGCTGCAGAACGGGAGAGAACTGAAGTCCCTGAGCAGACAGGATCCCAAGGAACTGTCCCAGTAGCTGAAAGCAGAGATGCTCCGTGGAGGTGACATGGGACACCAAAGGTGACTGTGTCGGTTGCCCACCCAGCCAGCAGCGTACTCGGGAGGAGCCCTCAGACCCCCGATCCCAGCCTAGTGCTCCCTTGCTCCCCACAGAGCTGCAGCGGGTCCCCTCAGCTTCCCAGTCCGCCTGCTTCGTGACCCACCCTCCTGCAAGGTGGCAGCGACTTCCTCTCCCATTTGTGGGGAAATCCAGTGTGGCTCCCCTCTATCCTGCATACCTTGTTCTTGCCCCCAGACTCTCCCCTGCAAGACCCAAGCAGTCAATCAGCAAAAGGGACACGTGGTCCTTTTAGCATAGCAGCTGCAGCACCGAATTGGCCAACATTGGCCCTCAGGCCCCACACCACACCCTCTCTGATGGGAACAGGGTCTGAGACCTGTTACACCCCCACATTTAACCGACTGAGCCACCCCGGCGCTCAGAGTTTTTTTGAGTACAGCTTTAGAGTTGCAGAATAACTGAGCCTTTCTACCGGGTCGTGGTTCCTGGGGATGGGGCGGGGGCGGGCACTTGTGCACGCTGTGAGCAGCCTACCTCCCGGCCGGGTGTGCCAGCCCCTGGTGCCAGAGCAGCCTGGCCTGGCACAGCGGAGTCCATCGCCTCTCTCCCCACAGCTCCGCAGGGGCAGATCGCACCGTCCCCCTGCCCGTCGGAGGCCTCAGCTACATCCAGGGCCTCACAAGACAGCGTCTTATCAACAAGACTGTGGGACAGTGCCTGGAAGCCATAGCACAGAGGGTCCCCGACCGGGAGGCCTTGGTCGTCCCGCAGGAGAACATCAGGCTGACCTTTGCCCAGCTCAAGGAGGAGGTGGGTCCTGATCTTGAACCCTCGAAGTCAGCAGGTGCTAGCCCCCCAGGCTGCACTGGCTGGGTGGAGCCCTCAGGGCAGCACCTGGCTATGGGGCAGGGCAGCACCTGGCTATGGGGCTGACTGAGAACCCCAAGGGATGGCGAGAAGGGGACAGGGCTGAGGCAGAAGGGGCCCAAGGTCACCTGCATCACTCATTCCTGGGCTGCTTGTTCACAATGCACATTCCCAGGCCCCATCCAGGCCCACTGAGGCCTGGGAATCTGCCTGTCCCTTGCTCCCAGGTGGTTCCGGTGACAACCCCCGGGCCAAGGGCTGAGGTGGGAGTCAGGGCCCCTTCCGGCTCGCCCACGTCTCACCCCTTGTGCTTTATTTACACCAGGTGGACAAAGCTGCTTCTGGGCTCCTGAGTATCGGCCTCCGCAAGGGCGACCGGCTGGGCATGTGGGGACCCAACTCCTATGCGTGGGTGCTCATGCAGCTGGCCACCGCTCAGGCAGGCATCATTCTGGTGAGCGGGGAACAACTGGGTATGTAGGGGGTGCAGAATTCACGGGGAGTCCCCCAGCTCCTTGGCCCCCAAACCGAACCGGTGCCTGACTGGTTTCAGACCGCGTAGTGCCTTCTTTCGAAGCCCCCCAAGGAGGCCTGGACGGGTAGGGCACTGCCTCTGACGGCATGGTGTTTCTGTGCCTCCTGAGAGTGGAGAGGCAGCGGGAGGGACAAGGTCTGGCCGAAACACTCACTGACATACCCTCGCTGTCTCCACTAGGTGTCTGTGAACCCAGCCTACCAGGCTATGGAGTTGGAGTATGCCCTCAAGAAGGTAGAACCCGCTCCTGGGGGAGGGGGCTGGCCAGCCAGCCAGCCAGGGGGATGATGGGGGGGGGCGGGGGCGGTCAGAGAGGTGTGCGACACCCAGAGTCTGTCTGTCCTCAGGTCTGTAGCGGGGGGAGGAGAGGGTGGTCATTCGGACCCAAGGCCGGCGTGTGTGTCCCGGGGTCAGCACAGGTGTGTTGGAGGCAATATGAGTGTGAGCCGGCGTGTGTGTGGCACCTGCGTGTGTCGGAGTGGTGGCGTGTGTGTGTGAGAAAGACTCACTGTTAGTGAGAACTAGCCCGGAGCCCCCGCCTGGAGCTCCCTGCTGACCAGGGGGGCGGGGGGCTCCCCCTCCACAGGTAGGCTGCAAAGCCGTCACATTCCCCAAGCAGTTCAAGACCCAGCAATACTACAACATCCTGAAGCAGATCTGCCCAGAGTTGGAGAAGGCCCAGCCGGGGGCCTTGAAGAGTCAGAGGTGGGGCTTTCCCACACTGGGAAGGGGGCGTGTGGTGTGGCCCGCTGGCCCCCTGATCCCCTCCCACCCCCCAGGGATGAGGCTGGTGTCTCCCTGGGCCTCCCCTCAGCCCTCCCTCCCCGCAGGCTCCCAGATTCTCACTACCCTCCCTCCCCGCAGGCTCCCAGACCTGACCACAGTCATCTCGGTGGACGACCCTCTGCCGGGGACCCTGCTCCTTGATGAGGTGGTGGCAGCTGGAAGCACAGAGCAGCATCTGGCCCGGCTGCGGTACACCCAGCAGTTCCTGTCCTGCCACGACCCCATCAACATCCAGTTCACCTCGGTAGGGCAGCGCTCTCCAGGCCCCAAGCCCCGGCTGGCCTGCTAACCCCTGCCCGCCCCTGTGACCCTTGCCCAAGAATGAGGAGATGACAGAAGAGGCCCAGGGCGCGGACACTCTTCTGGGGCCGGCCCTAGCTGTCCTCTCGGCCCCGGGAAACATCGCCAACTGGCATCCTTGTCACCTGCCCCCCCCCCCCCGGCCCTCTCTTCCTCAGCACGGAGGCAGGTGCACTGGGCCACATCAGGCCAGAGCTGACCGATGTGCCTCCTCATTTAGTAGATGAGGAAACTGAGGCCCAGAGAGGGAATCCGCCGCTGGGCCACAGAGTTCTCTGAGCCACTTGATGAGAGGATCCACATTTCTGGATCCTCACACCCGGCACCGTGCGGGCACATGGTAGACCTTTGTGAACACACGTTCAATGAATGAATGGATCAGGGACACGGTCCCGGTCTCCTGACTCCCGGTCCGGCGCTCTCCCATATGGTGGCCCAGGGTGGGAAGGACATGGGGAGCAGGAGCCAAGCATCACCTGCTTGTCTTATCAGGGGACGACAGGCAGCCCCAAGGGGGCCACACTCTCCCACTACAACATTGTCAACAACTCCAACATGATAGGGGATCGGCTGAGGCTGCACCTAAAGGTGAGGGGGCTAGCCCAGGCCCTGCAGGGGGTGGGGGTTGCTGGGCTCCCCCTGCTGGCTAGTGGAACTGGCTGGGGGTGGGGGTTGGGGGGGGGGCACTTCTGGCTCCAGGGTAGAACCAGCTTCCTGCCTCCATTTCCAGACGTCAGAGGACTTACGGATCATCCTGCCCAGCCCCCTGTACCACTGCCTGGGTTCTGTGGGGGGCACGATGGTGAGCCTAATGTATGGTGCTACCCTCATCCTACCCTGTCCGACCTTTGATGGCAAGAAGGCGCTGGAGGCCATCAGCAAAGAGAGGTGGGCATCAGTGGGGAGCCCCCCAGGGGCCGATGAGACCCTCCGATTCCTCACTCCGGGGCTCTGATCCCTTTCTGAGATGTGTGCCCGCTTCAGCCCAGAGAAATGGAGACAGGGGTAGTGGGGGACTCCCAGGGGAGGACAAGTTCCTGCCTCCAAAGAGCTTCTCCTTCCTGTTTCCCACATATACAGCCTTGGCCCTTCCTGGGGGGGTTCAGGGTGGGGGGGGTAAGAAGAGGGAGCTCCCTTCCACTTCCAAGCCTGATTCTGAGACTCCCCCCACCTTATACAGAGGCACCATCCTGTACGGCACCCCCACAATGTTCGTGGACATTCTGAACCAGCCAGACTTCTCCAGTTACGACATCTCGTCCATGTGTGGAGGTGGGGTAGGGCCAAGGGTAGCCGAGCCAGGATTGACCTGATGAGCTGGATATGCGCCCAATCTCTTATTTAGGAGGCAACAAGACATTGCAGAAAAGCGGGTGGGAGGGAGGCAAATCCCCAGTGTCCTTGGACACCAGCCCAAGGCCAAGTGCCAGGTGTAGGAACAAGTCCAGGGTCAAGGGCAAGAGGGGAATGTTCTGCTCTAGAAGGAGCCGTAGGTGAAAGGGGTCCACAGGGCCTGGAGAAGCAGGGAGCTGTGTCAGTCTTCTCTCTGATTCAGGTGTGATTGCTGGGTCCCCCGCACCCCCAGAGCTGATCCGAGCCATCATCGACAAGCTAAACATGAAGGAGCTGGTGGTGAGTGGCAGCTGGGCTGGGGCTGCGGGCAGGGGACACGCCAGGCCCGGGGTGGGAACAGACTGGTGTCTGTAGGGATGAGCTCGGGCCAGATCTCCAAGGAAGACCCTCTCGGTTGGCCCTCCTTCCAGAAAGCAGATGTGAGAAAGGGCAGTCTGACCTCATCAGCAGCTGGCGAGTCATAGAAACAGGTGACAGGGGAGTAAATATTACCCATACATAAATTTATATTTATGGAAATCCGGAAGAGAAGGGCAGCATGGGAGGGTAATGCGGCAAAGCACCAGTATCCCGCTAGAGTGTCCTGGCAGGCAGGGGGCTGGCGGAGTTGGGGTATGGGCTCAAGACCCTTTCTGGACGAAAGGAGAAGGGCAAAGATCTGGTATTCGTTTCCAAAGGGTAAGGCCAGGGGAGCAAAGGGAAGGAGGATTCGGGTTCTGGTTCTGAAGGACTTGGGGTCTTGGCAATAGCTTCTCTGAGAGGAGCCGTGGCGGTGGGGCCAGGTGTGATGGAGCTCTCACCGTCAGGGGGAGCTGGGTTCGTGCTGGAGTGCCCGAGTCCCCCTGCCAGGACGTGTCTAGGTGTGAACAGCTCTGTGCATCAGCAGAGGCTGTGGGGAGAGGTGGGGGTCAGAGATGGGAAGGTCAGTAGTTTCTCCAGCTGGAGGCAGAGGCCGGTCACCAGGACCGGCTGAGTCAGGACCTGCAGTGAGGCAAGGTTCAGCGTCAGAAGCCCGATAGCCTTGACAAGGCTTGCAGAGAATGGTGGGAGTCCCAGGCAGCGTCATGTTCCCCCTTAGAGGGGAGCCCCAGTCCTCCCCTCCCCTCCCTGCACAAATGGAGAGTATGCATGCCCCTCTGTGGGCACAGAGTATCCTGGGACCCCCTCCTCACTTGCTAGAATCTCCGGAGAGGGGAATAGGGGAGCTGCCCACCCGTGCCCCACCTGTTCAATGGCGGCCGGCTTTCTTGGACCTCTTAGTGGGGAACTTGCAGCCGCGGAAGGCATCGGTGTCACGGATATGCTGGCCTTTGAACTTGGCGGGTGAGGCGCAAGTGGCATCAGGGCGGGAAGCCTTGGCTTCCAGCCACCTAGAGAGACAGAGAGTCGCTGGGATTGGGGGAGAGATGGCAGGGGGCGGGGGGGGGGGGGGGGGGGGGGGGGGGGACAATGCGCCAGGGGGCCAAGATCAACTTATTTCTAGGATAGCCTGGAACTGTCATCTTCATTTTACAAACTCCTAGGGCCCACACCTGTTAGGCAGCAGATCTAGGACATGTGCCCCAGACGTCGTACTGCAGGGCCAGTGTGCCTCCACTCCATCCCATGAGGGCAGGTCACAGCGGGTAGCATGGGGGCGTTCTCACCTCCGAAGACCCCGGAGCTGGCAGGTGCACTTCCAGGGGTTGTTGGTGAGGGTGAGGGTCTCTAGGCTGTCAAAGGGGAAGTTGGAGGGCAGCTGGTTCAGGCGGTTGTTCTCCAGGTGGATGTGTTTCAGCGTGGTCACACCCAGGAAAGCACCGTCCGAGAACTGGGGAGTGAGGTGGACGTGAGTGAGGACCCCAGCCCCGGTGTCCAGCCTCTCCCAGCTCTAAGGTCCCACGACGGTGGCTCCTAAGCCATACAGCCACCGATTGAGATAGGTGGTGTTATTTCCAAAATGCAGGTGGGGGGGGGGGCGGGTTTGGGCGTGCGGGGGGGGGAGGGGAGGGCAAGTCTCTTGCCCAGGGTCACACTAGAGAGTAAACAGTAGCTGCAGGACCACACCCAGCTCCTCTTCCCCCTGGCGTCACACTCCCTGCACAAACACTGGGCCTGGGGAGGCAGCCAGAGTTTGGCTCCAGCGGCCTGCGTTGGCACGCGGTGAAGCTGGTCAGTGTTTGGTGGGACGGGCAGTGGGCCCAGGCTCCCCGCAGCCCCAGGGTCCTGGGACTTCCCCCAGCTCTGTCCTCACTGCTCCCTCACTGCTTGCCAGATGCTATTTGTGGAGCCTCCTTGGTGGAGCCTTTGGCCAGGCTGGACGGCTCCAGGGGAAACATTCTATTGGTGCCCGCATCTTGGCCCAGGCATCACAGTCCTGCCTGGCCGCACCGCCCCCGCCCCAGATCAGCCCCGACTGCCCTGCTCCGCGACCCACTAAAAGGCCACTCTGGCACCGGTGGCCCACAGGGAAATCCGACTTCATGTCTGCAGGGGCCGGGGCTGAAGAAGGGTGGGCCGCATCCACCCAGAATTCTGCCCTCCTCTCTGTGGCTCAGGGAGGGGTGCGAAGGTCCCTGGTAACCAGACTGTTCTGATGACGGTCTTCTACACCTTGCCTTGGTCCTCGCCCAAACCTCCTGGCCGAAGCCCCTGTACCAGAGTGATTTTCCAGTCCCACGGAGAGATTCCACCGCCACCCAAGGCAACCCCACCTGGGTATCACGGGGGAGGACGGGCTGAGCAAGGATGCAGCCAGGAGACGGGTCTGGTGACTGCGGTGGGCAAAGGGCAGTCAGCGGTCTGGGGGACAGTGCGGCCCAGCCAGTCTTCCCTGTATGGAGACACCCGGAGTCCTGTGCCAAAGGCTGACAGTGTCATGGGGCTCTTGCCTTTGTCCCTTGGCAGAGCGCATGGGGCCATCCCTGCGACCTGGGGAAACCCCTAGTTCCCGGGGCCCCCTCCGTTGAAATGAACCTGAGAACGCAGCGGAGTGTGTCTGTGTGTGAACTGGGAGGTGGGGCGGGGTGGGGAAGGGAACATTCGCCAGGGCCTCTGGGGGGCATGGAGGAGGTCTTCTTCCTCAGCTACTTGCTTTCCCTTCACCCCCCCCAGCCCCCCACCCCACTTTTGCACACATGCACTCCCCCCGCCCCCCCCCTCCCCCCCCCCACCAAGAACAGGGTCTCTTTGTGGGCCTGATTTGCCCAGCTCCTCTGGAAACCTTCTCAATAAACAAACCTTCCTTTATGGGGTGGTAGGCCTGCTGGAGACAGGAAAAAAACAGCAGAGGAGGGATGGAGGGGCCCGACAGGAAGAGGTGGCTCCTGCCCACAGCAGGGGGTTGGGGAGCACTGGATGTGCCTCCCAGGGGCCAACCGAGGGGCCAGGGCAGCCCCAACTCTGTCCGTAAGTAGGAATCCTAGGAGGGCGGTGGCTGAGACTAGGGACAGGGGTGAGGATGTGACAAGATGAGGGACGGAGGTGGCAAAGCTCCTCACCTTGGAGACAGCCAGAGAGACAGAAGCAATTTTAGGGGAGAAGGGACGGTGCCCGGCTGTGGCCCTGGATCCCTGGGCCTCGAGGCAGAAAAGGAGCCCGGGCAGAGCTCCGCAGCTGGCAGCTCACCTTCTCCAGGTTGGTGTTGTCCAGCCAGAGGGTCTCCAGGTATCTGCCGAAAGACTGGAAGGCATTGTCGGGAATGCTTTTCAGGGGGTTGTGGGACAGCTTCAGCTCCTCCACCACCCGCAGCTTGCTGAGGGCGGCTGAGGGGTAGCCGGACAGCTGGTTCCTGTCCAGGTAGAACTTGGCGAGGTTCTCCACGTCGTCCAGAGCGCCGGGCTGCAGCGAAGTGAGCGCATTTTCCGACAGGTAGAGCCAGCGCAGGTCCTTGGCGCCCTGGAAGGCGCCAGCGCGCAGCTCGCGGATCTTGTTGTTGTTGAGCTGCAGGATGAAGAGGTTGACCAGCGGGGAGAGCAGCCCCCGGGGCAGCTCGGTCACCTTGTTGTGGTCCAGGTAGAGGTAGGTGAGCTCCGTCAGGTCGTCGAAGGCGCCGGCGCGCAGCACACGGATGTCGTTGTGGGACAGGTACAGGTAGATGAGCTGCTTGAGGCCTCGGAAGGCGCCGGCGGCCACCTCGCGGATCTGGCAGTGCTGCAGGTGCAGCGACACGAGGTTGGGCATGGCCCGGAACGAGTTGGCGGCCAGCACCGGGAAGTTGTTGCGTTGTAGGTTGAGCAGCTTGGTCTTCTCTGACACCTTGGGGATCTTCTGCAGCCCCACCTTGTCACAGATGACGTGCTGCAGGTCTCCGTGGCAATGGCAGTTCTGGGGGCAGGCGGCCAGCGCCGGCAGCAGGCCGGCCAGGAGGCCGAGGCTGAGCAAGAGCAATGGACGGGCCATGGCCGGACGCCGGGGGGCCGGGGGGCCGGGGGGCAGCGGCGGCGGGGCGCGGGCAGCGGCAAGTCCTGGGCACTCCGGTCTCCCGCCCTATTTATACGGTGGCCCTGACCGCAGCCTGCAGCCGGAGCCAGCTTCTACGTGGAGCATCCAGGCCACCGGGCTTAACTCCCTCCCGCCCAGGGATGCGCCCCCGCCCTCGACGGGGAGGGGCGGGGCCCTGCCCCCAGCTGGCGACCGTGCGAGGGGGGGGGGGGCTGGGACCGTGACCCCAGAGCCTCGTCCTGGCCCCTGGCCCCTTTCTCCCTGCTCTCTCAGGTCCTGCCTCTCTCCCGACCCTTCCCGCCCCGCACCTCCTTTCCCCATCCTTGGG